GAGAAGAGAAATAGAGAAGTTGACCATATCTACCTCCCACCCTACCTCTTTCCACTGCAGGCTTCCAGCCTAAAGCAGGCTTGGAGGAAGGGGTATGGGAGATGGAAGATGTGTCAGTCAATCCATTCAATTTGGTTGATTTTGATGATTATTTTGTACTGGCCATTCTGATGTCTAAATTGAAATTGTGATTCTAGGATAGGACCCTGCTCAGTTTGAGCAGAAAAGACATAAGCCCCTAGAATGGGGCAGGGAAATAAAGCCCCAGGAATTAAATTTTACAGAAACAAGGAGACAAAGATCAAGGTTGTATTTAGATAACATTCTGGACTGTTCTTAGGTAACACAAAGTTACATTTGTAACACACTTAGCAGGGAGCTGGGCACGTGGAGCCCACTTGATCAATGTCAGCCATTATTAGAATAAGAGCCTACATATGAAGAAATATAAAGAAGAGCATTTCATTTAATGCCCCAAATAGCTGTGTAAGGTAGGGCTTGCTCTTCCTCTTTCCAATCCAGCAACATGGAGCAATGGCCACCTCTGGAGCCCTTTTGCTGTCAGTGGCATAAGTGGCCCAGCCAGCATCAATCCCCTCGCCATGCTCCCTTGTCTGGAGGCCATCAGCTTGTTGGAACACCCTTAGAAGAACTCGACTTGGGGTAAGAGTAATGATTTCAACTCTACTTAGACATCTTTTGCTGATTCATCATAGTCCAGGACGATATTATTTATAGACTAATGTAGTTTGTAGCTTGGGGGAAATGTGACCTAGAAGTCTATTTAAAACATGGAAACCTTGCAGATTAAAGAACAAGATAATAGAGTTATTGCAAAGCCCATTCACCTGACCTGATTGGGAGTTAAAAATCACCTTGGCCAACAAGACGGTTCTTTTCTTTCCTCCTGAGTGAAATAGCAGGTGCAAAGACTCTGCCCGTGTTCTAGATGGATGCTCTAGGGCTTTACCAAACCCAGCAGGCTGAACCAACACCACACTCGTCTTTGAGGTTGTCATTTGGTGGCACCTCATGGTCTTGTGTCAGGCGAGTAATATGCGGTTTTTAAAAACATGCCTTCTTTTTTTAACAGCCCCTGAAAAAGACACTCAGAGGCCACTGTCTGAAAATAGCAAGGGCTGTTTGTGAAAGGGACCAGTGTGTAGGAAAGCCCTTTCTCGCGCTGAGTTCTTCCTTCAATACACATGTATTGAACCGCTACTGTGTGCTGGCAGGTCTCTGCCTTCAGGCCATGCACATCTAATGTAAAACGCTGAGGCCTCAGCTCTGTGTTGGGACCAAGTGCTCAGGAGCTCCACCGAGGGCCACTGAGGGTCTTAGGCCTGGGTCAGGTGGAAGAAGGTCAGACCAAGCTCTCCTGGCCCTTCCCCTGAGTCTGGTGGCCTTGTGGCTCCTCTCTGGTCACTAGGTATGTCTTATCAGGCCTCCTGGATCTGAATTCAGACTCTGGGATCCCAGACTTGGTGGCCAGTCGTGCCTCTATGACCGAGTTGTGGCCTCAATGAGCCATTGAACCCCTCTGTGCCGCAGTTAATATTTCTGTAGAGTGGAGATGTCACAGGCTGTTTGTCTGCGAGCTGTTGTGAGGATGAGGGTTGATGAACTATCCAACGTGCTTGGTAATAAAAGCCGCTCTTTCCTGTTGAACACCTACAGTGTGTGCAGGCCTGTGCTCAGTACTCCGGACATCCATTCATGGACTAAATCCTCCCAACAGCAATCCTTCCTAGGAACATGTGCTGACATTGTCCCCATTTCACAGATGAGAACTCTGAGGCATAGGCATTTCAATAACTTGCCCATGGCACAGTGAGTGGGGGTAGAGGCAGAATTCAAATCCAGACTGCCTGCAAGAGAGCTGTGCCCATAACCACTCACTAGGTTGCCCCAACCCAGGCTGCAAGCCCCTGCTCAGTAAGGGTTGCTGATGGCGATTACATCTTTACCACTGTCATTGGGAGAGAAGACGTGCATGTTCATTGTCAGAAATTCTTCCATAAAGCACAGGGCATAGCAGAGCCTTTATTGTGGCCCCAGGGCAGGAGTGAATGAGCAGGGGAGGCAGGCTTACTCATTGAGATGACGTGTGTGCAGGCCATCCAAGCTACTTTTATTATCTGGGTGGGCCACATGTATAATATGGGTGGAAACCCTTCATTCAACACACACCTACCCACACACCAAATCACACTTTTCTTGGTAGAAGATGAGGGGAATAATCCCTCCTAACTACATCACCCCTCCCTGCAGCCAGCTACTGTCTCCAGGAAATCTCTGAACACTTGGTGGAAAAAGCCAGGTTCACAGACGCCGCTGTTGGCTCAGCTCAGTCCCTCTGGAGTAAACTCTTATCTGAGCTCCACTCTGGACACTCCCGACCCTCACCTTTTCCACTGTTCACCCCAGGGATGCGTACAGAGTGGCCACTGCCACTGTCCTTCCCCAGTTCAGAAATGTTGGCATCCCAATCCGGGGGCTGCCCACCCTGAGGTTTAAAGAATCCGCCTTTTCTCCAGAGGTAGAAATAAGACCGTAGTCACCCATGTGACCCCCCTTAAGAAACAGTCCACATGTCATTGTATTTAAGACACCAGAGATCAAAGGCTATGCCATAAACTTGATAACAGCCTTTCAGGAATACGTCATGCAATGTTAAATGTACCCACTGACTGTAAGATTCCAAAAACACTGAATTGTAGATTCAAGGAAATAGAGAGTGTCCATCTCAACTAGCGCATACACCCCTCAAAGGTTCCTGTTGTCCTCAAGCCACGTCCAAGAGCCATGGAAAGGCAGCAAAGCCACCCATGACCTGACTTCTGCTCAAGGCTTCAGCCTCAGCTCCCACATCTCCGGCATCTCCTGACCTTGTGTTTCCACTACAGTTGTTCCCCAGTGAGCCTGGGCGGATCATGCCTCTGTGTGGTTGTACATGCTGTTCCTACTCTGGGGGTGCCCTTCCACCCAGTGGCAGCTCCACAAACACCACCCCTGGGAAGTGCCCCCTCTGTGATGATGCTGTGGGAGAAGATTGGGCTCGATTTCCACCTGTGTGGTTCCTGGCTGGGAGGCCTCAGCACAGGAATCGCCCACCGCACCTTTAACGTGCCAGCCGTGTGGGGGGTGAGTGGCTGTGCAGTGGAAGGAGACAGCTGTGGGAAGGGCTCACACCACCTGGCACATGGTAAGAGCTTCATGGGGTTGGTTCCCTTGTGTTTTCTCAGATCCTGTTTTTACCCTTACTGAGACAGGAGCGAAACCCCTAGAGAAAATAAAATCAGCAACACCACACGCGGGCCTAGTGGAAATTCCACTTCTATGTATGTTGGGGTTTTTGCTTCCTGGTCTTTCTTTTCAATCAAGCTATGACACACATACCATCAAATTCATCCTTTTAAAGTATACAACTCAGTGGGTTTTGGTATCTTCATGGAGTCGGGCCACCATGAGCCTTCCCTAATTCCAGGGTGTTTGCATCACCCTAGATGAAACCCCACACCTATGAGAAGTCATCCCCACTCCTCTGTCCCCAGCCCTCTCGGCCCCCCAGCAGCCCTAGCCTACCCCTCCCAGCCTTCTAAGGAGAGCTCCTCCTGAAACTGGAAAGCCAACATTGGCCTTGCCAGTTCCTCAAAGGGCGTTGGAAGGGCTTTGCCGGCTGATGGAACCAGAGGAGTTTTGTGAATAAAAATTGTTATTAGGTACAGAAAAGGGAATCAAATCTAAGGCACCCCTTAGGTGGAGATGAGGACTGGACCAGCTGCTGGCCGTGTGCCCCCGGCAGGCCACGTCCCCACACACTCTGGGGCCTGGGGCCCTGCTGCTCTCCCCTCATGGGATCTTAGAACTTGCAAAAGTCTCCATCACCATGGACCTCAGTAGGGAGCAAGGCTTGGGAGAGCAGAAGAGGGAAGCCCTGACTCCCAGCAGGCAGCTGGGGGAGAGGTGGGGAGGCTGTCCCCAGGCCCTGCCCGTGCTTTTGCCCCAGGATCCTGAGGGCACCTTCCCATGGGCCCCACCTGAAGCCAACAGAGCCTCTGCCCATCATATGAAATCTTTTCAGGCCTGAGTGTGTCTTATTTTGCCCTTGGCCATCTCCTTGTACCTTCTTGGGAAATAAACATGTCAAGGATGTGGCGTTGAGGACTTGGTTTTTCCTCCTCATAATCGGAACTGCATTGTGGGCGGGATTCTCTTCTTCCAGTGGCACAGTGGGAGCTTATTTGTAAACTTAGGTAGGAAGAAAGCAGATCACGAAGAACACTACCTTGACGGGCATCGCATTGTGTGCTCTGGGCTGCATTTAAGCTACACTGCAGGGGATGTCACTGCTTGGAGTGAGTCAAGTGCCTCTTGAATAGTGCGTGTCACAGGGATCTGTTTGCCTTTCATAGCTGGCTGGAACGTGAAAATTCTCCTCTCCCTAAGGGGTAAGCTGTGCCCCACAGGCCCCCTCTTCCTCACTCCCATGGGGTCTGCAAGAGCTCCAGCTGCCCTCCTTGTGTCCCCACTGACAAGACAGAGATGGTCGAATGTCGTGGGCCTCTAGATGTCTAGTGGTGGTGCCCATGTCACCTCCATGTGCAGGTTCCATTCTCGGGGCAGCCTGGGAGGCAGCCCTGGTGGTGAAGAGAAGGAGACCCTAAAATCCCCCAGGCTCACCATGGTTCCTCAGGGAGGTGGAGACAAGCAGCTCCTGAGTGGCCTTGGCCAGCCTGAGCCACCTGCTTTTCAGAGCTACCACCCAGGTCACTATCTCACAGGGGACTCTGAGGAGTCTCTGGACTCATGCATGGAAAATGCTGTATACACAGGACTGGCACCCAACCTGGCTCAGTTCCTTCCCTCAGCCTTTGTTCGTGGGGATCATGCTGGGCAGGAAGATGTTCTGCAGGGTCGAAACCACCTGGTCCAGTGGCTCAGTCCCCTCAACAATGACCAGAGGCCACTGCCCTCAGCAGCATCTCCTTCTCCCGCAGGAGAGTACCTGGCCGTACCTGTTTGGAGTGATTGTGGTCCCTGCCGTTGTCCAGCTGCTGAGCCTGCCCTTTCTCCCGGAGAGCCCACGCTACCTGCTCTTGGAGAAGCACAACGAGGCGAGAGCTGTGAAAGGTGAGGGCCCTTCTCTTTCCTGCACAGCTCCAGCCCCTGCATAGATCAGCACTGCAAGGCATGCTGGGACCTGGGCCAGTGGGCACAGGAAGGGGTGCTGTCATTGTTCCTTTTGCAGGCACTCTGGGTTGGGGGTCATAGGGCACCTTCTCATTTCATCTTCCCAACAGCCTTGCTAGGAGGACAGACGGGGGACACAGAGTCACCCAGGGAGTCTCCCAGGGAGTCTGGAAAAGCCAGAACAGGCAAGATAAGATGCAGGTCCTCTCTGGGCAGCATCTCCCACTACTGCTTATTTGGTTGTTTCCAGACACAGAGATGAAGCCATCTCAAATCTCTGAGTGGCTTAGGTGCATAGCGGCCCTCCTTCTACTCCTTCTCCCTTCACTGACTTCCTCTGTCTTAACATTTACATGCCAGGAAAGGAAAAGATGGAAGCACAAAGTGAACACCAGATCCCACCAGGCACTGGTCTGAGTGCTTCTGCACAATGACCCATGGGACCTTGCCAGCAGTCCTTGGAGGGAGGAAGGAGCATACACTCATTTTACAGGAGAGGAAAATAAGGCTCTCAAAGGCGCTTGGGAGTTGTCTCAGGTAGCTTTCTTTAAATGCCCTAAATGGGGAGGATGCTGAGTCAGATTCAAAGCCTGGCTTTCGGAATCAGAGACATCTCTCTACAGAGCCCTGAAAAGGCAAAATTATGTTGCCTAGAGATAGACAATGCAGAACGAACAATCACATTCTCATTCTTCTAGTTTTATCAAATGAGACGCAGTTGACAGCGCCATGGTTAGTTAGGCATGTGAAGGTAACCAGCACTACCTTCACATCCAGCTCTGCTGTCTGACCTTGAGCAATTTTTTTAAACCTTCTGAGCCTCAGAACCCTCGGCTATAGAAAGGAAATGACATAAACTTCCCTCGTGGGGCCATTGTGAAGATTGAATTAATGGTGCGGATAAGGTTCGTAGTATTATCTGCTGTCCTCATTACTGAGAACTCCGTGCATTTTAGCTCTAAATTTCACTTATGTCCAAATCCAGGAGAAACCTTGAGAATTATATATACAATTTGTGCAACATTTTTTGAAATTCACACTACCTATTTTCTGAGTTAACAAATGGCATAATGAAATGTTAACAATTGCCTATATTTGTCTAGCAGTTTATGGATCAGATTCATTTTCTCATTTATAACATTTCTCTAAAGTGAAGTCAGAGAAGGTAATTGTTATTACCTTCATTTTGCAGATGAAGAAACTGAGGGTTACAGAGATGAAGTCCGTTTCCCAAAGCTGTGGGTTTTCGTTTATAGAGATTTATACAGGCTTTTGAAAATATGATGGAAATGATAGTGTTTTCTTCAATGCAGTGATCATACACACAAAATTCTGCCTATGGCTTTGGTGATGGACCTGGGACTTGAGCCCTCTTTTCTCCAGAGGACCCTGGTTAATAACTGCCACCCCCAATCTTAAACCCATTAGTAACCAAAGGATTGGAACCCAAGGAAGATTTTCCTCCCACACCCCTTGTGCACAGAGAGATACCAGGAAAGGGAAGTAGTGTCTGTTGTACCAGGTGACTTCCCATGTGGCCAGTGAGGAGAAAAACTAACTAAATTTTGGTTCAGGTGGTTGTCAGATGGCAGAGTCTCTGGAGTAAAAAGAAGGTGACTAAGAGAGAGAACCAAGGAGATCTGATTCTAGAAAGCACCTGGGCTGTGCATTGTTGGAAGAGGGTGAGCCCTCCAGCTCTGTCTCTACTGGCCTGGGAGGGTAACCCGCACCCTCTGGCTCTGCTCGGGAAAAACTCTTAAGAAATGCTTCAATTAAGTACAGTTGGAATGAACAGTGCATGCCAATGCCAGACAGTGAAGAAGGTTTTAAAGTTTTATTTCATAGCACAGTAGGGAGTAAGGGAGAAGTCTAGTTACAAAACATGATAAGTATTACATGTGCACTCTATAAAATGAACAAAGATACTGACCTTAAGTTGAAATAGATTATTGAAATTTTCATCTGTACCTATAAAAGTGCTAATTTTACTCCAGACATTCAGCAAGCAATGGATATTTACCATGTTGGGCATTCAGCCAGGTGACAGGGTCAGACAGTGGTATGAAATGACATTCCTGCCCCCTAGGAGTGAGGGAGGGTAAAGGTCTCGTTAAAGGAGATGGACAGAAACACCCAGTAATGGCTCATCTGTATTGAAAACTATTTCATTCTAAGCATTTGACATACATTAGCTCATTAAATCATCACAACAACCATAGAAAGTAGGTCACATTTTTATTCCCATTTTAAGACCTAAAAAAAAAACAAAAACAAAACAAAAAAAAAAACTGAGGATGGAATAACTTGGCCAAAGACATAAAGCTAGCCAATCACAGCACTGAAGTTTGAATTCTGACAATCTAGCTCTGGAACTTAGGAATGTAAACAAAATGCGCTTTATTACCCAGCACCATGCTGGGCACTGTGGGTGATACCCCTTCTCCAGTCTGTTGACAATTTGGGGAAAAGGGGCCCTGTGTTAGTCAACTATTACCATAATAATGCTGCATAAAAAAACACCCAAAACACATTGGCTTAAGATAATAGTATTCCTTAGTTCACAAACCTATAGGTGAACTGTGTTATTCTGTTAATCTTAGTAATCCTTCCTGGGGCCAGCTGAAGTTCACTCACATGTCTGGTGGTCAGCTGGCTGACTTAGGTTGGCCTTAGCTCTGTTCAATGTACCTCATCCCCAGCTGGCCAGCAGGGCACATTCTCATGGTAATCAGAGAGGAAATGGAAAACACAAGCAGTTTCTCTAAGTTGGAAATCTCCTAAAATCCTATTGGCCAAAGTAAGTCACATAGCTAAGCCCAAAGTCAGAGTGGAAGGGGGCTTCAAAGTTTTAGGATAGAGACATAAATGTAGGGAGGCCACGAACTTGGGCCATCAACACAATCACTTTAGACAAGAGGCCCCTTTCGGGATGTCCCTATCACACTCCATCCCCACCCCCAGTTCATAGTGGCAGGGAATGAGTCCCATGCCCTGGGTCTTATTTATTTACGCCACTCTTGTCAGTTTAGGAGAATCCCAGCCTCCAGTACCTAAAAATGAGGGAACACCCTAACTTCTACTCTGAGAAAGGGAAATGTATTTAATTGAATAAAAATGAAATATTACCATAGGGAATGTAAAAGGACAACGTTCAGGAATTAGGGTCAGGGAAATTGCATTGATCAGGACTCTCTGGGATGTAAGAGGTAGAAACTGCATCCAAAGCAGTGTAAGCAAAAGGGGAACTTTTGGCTCCTGTCCCTCATGATCTGAGGGCACCAATAATGGGCCCTCTTCCTCTTTCCAGCCAAAGTTGAAATCAATCAAGAGATGGATACACAAGTGGAGGAGGTGGGTTAAAATGATCACTTTTAGTGTGAATAAAGACTACTAGGAGATTTTGGCTTTAGGTCTGATGGCCAAGAGAACCTCTTAAGATTGTGCTCCTGAACTGAACTTGCCACCTACTCATGGCCTCTCTGACAGGGCCCATCCTTGAAAGACTTAGAACATGGAACAGAGAGTGTGCTCTTCCAGCCAGATAGGTCCCAAAAAGAAAGGGAGGAACTAAGCTGTGCGGGCCATTTCTTTCCCCTAGCTTAACCAAATAGGTAAGTTCCCTCTCATCTCCTGGACAGGAGTGAGCGAGGTAAAGAATGACATACTAATGCCCTTCATGAAGAAAGCAGTATCAGGAGAGGGTAATAAGTGTTCTTCCTAATCATAAGCAGTGAAACGGCTGGTTTTCCTTCAGGTATGGTGGGATCCGGGAACTAAATCAACTTAACCAGTTAGATAGGTTCCCTCTCATCTCCTGGACAGGAGCAAGTGAGGTGAAGAATGACACACTAATGCCCTTCATGAACAAAGCAGTATCAGGAGTGAGCAATACATGTTCTTCCTAATCATAAGCAGTGAAACGGCTGGGTTTCCTTCAGGTATGGTGGGATCCAGGAGCTAAATCCAAGTCATTAAGGTACTGCCTCTCTCTCAACAAATCTTGACATTCTTAGTATTTCATTGGCTTCATTCTCAGACAGGCTTTCTCTACTTGATATAAAGACAGCCCTGAGCAGCTCCAACTTGGTAAGACTATCTCAGAAGGAGAGACATTCTCTGTCACACATCATACATTTCACTCTCTGAAGAAAATAATTATAACTGGTCTTTCTTGGGTTATGGCCATCCTTGAAGCAATCACTGCAATGGGAATTAGAATTCCCTGACTGGCCAGTTGCCATCCATTCTGATGATTGGGAGATGGAGGGCTATGAGGTTTCATTGACATCTCTACTGAGATTATTGGGAGCACAGGAGGACAGCTTCAAGGAAAAGATGCAGCAAGAGAAAAAAGTACAGGATGGCCACCACCATGCAGAAATGACCCTTTTATCCCATCTGGATGCACTCTCCCTGGTAGTGCTATGTCCCCTGTCCTCCATGGTCTGTATTGGTCTTTGCTGTCTGAACTCCAACTGGGGATAGACTTGGCGGGGATCTCAGACCACAGCCCACAGATAGGCAATTCAGAGCAGTCTTGATGTGTCTCCTTTTTTGTTGCTTTGTGTATGGGAAGGAGTGTGTTTTTATGGGATATAGCATTTGGGAGCCAGTTATTGGCTGGAACCCTGGCCTAAATAGAAAAGGAAGATTATCCATTATTGGTCACCAGTGGAATTTTCATTGGCATTTTGATTGGAGGAAGTTTCTTTCTTTTGTTTTGTTTTGTTTTTGGTAGAGAAAGGCATGTGTATCATGATTAAGTCCTGCTCCTTATGATAGAAAACTCAAAGTAATAGTATCCTAAACAAAGTAGAAGTTTATCTCTGTCACACATTTAAAAAAAATGCTCAAAGTAGATTGTCTAGGGCTGTTATGGTTCTTCCTGGTATCAGAGACCTGGCTCTATTCATCTTTGACTGCCATTCTCAGAAGGTCC